TATAGGATTGCTTGAATATTACAAGCATTTTAGCCATTTTGAAACTAAACTCTGAAACTGCCACATCATGTCAAAAATATTGCCAAGATTTTGTATTGCTACACTGGAAAAATATGTGACACAAAGTGCTGTGAAGTGACAAAAATGATCACTGACCAGATCATATGATGTTAAAATGTATTAAGGCCGTTTTAAACACTCAAAACTGGTGCCACTGCTCACATCCAAAAGCAATATTTAATACTAAACTGAAAATTTATTTTCATGCCTTTGAAAAGCAGAGATTTGTTTATTTTGTATCATGAAGAATGTCTTTTCGAGACAGTCCATTTCTGGATATGAATTGAACTCTTTGTGCAATAGTAGTTAATACGTCTTCAAAAGAGCTCAATGTTCTGAGCTACAATAGCATGGCAAGACAAATCCAGACTGAAGGCCCGTTCGTGGGTGTTCTACTTGTGCCAGGTGCCATATAGAGTTCCAGATGGGTAGAGAGTACCAGACTGAAAAACGAATGCTGGGGCTGAGTAATGGTTAACTGTCATACCAGCTGCAATCACAGGGCAGATCACTCACTGGAGTCTGGAGCCAGGCCACACACACTCAGGATGTGTTCCAAAACCTAGTGAGCTGCCTACATAGGAGGCATTTTAAGCCTTTGTAGGCGACCTCCTGCTGCGAAGGCTGGTCCAATTGGTAGGCAACCTAAATTTGCTGCTATTTGTTCCTATTGCCAAATTTGTTTCTATTGCCAAAATTCTATGGTAGCAGCAAGCTGCCATAGAATTCCATCCAATTACATTTTTGCAGATTTATTAAAAAAGAAAAACTGAAATATCACATATATAACCGAATGTTACAGAAACTTCTAGAATATTTCCATCCTTGCAAAAGCAACGTCTTTATAAAAAAAGAAAGAACATGCAAACTTACCTGTACTAATCCGATGTTTCATAATTAATGATAGAAGTTCTAAAATTTACCTGACCTAAATATTTACCAAAATTGATGCTACTTGAAAATAAATAGTACATAGCACCAGAGAATTACAGAAGAGCCATAAAAAAAATAAGTGAAACTCAATTTTATTACATTGTATTGTATGAATCAGTCAGTACCAGAAAAGATCAATAAAAATTGTTAAATAAAATTAAGATAATAATAATAAAATCACTAATTTACTCAGTGTATTTCTAAGCTAGTATCATGTTGTTAGCCTAGCAACATGTTATCATGTTAAGTTTTCACTCGTGGAACATTAAGAATTTGCAAAAAGCAAACCAAGAACATTATTTGGTTCTTAGACTCAAGCCTGGCAGAAAAGTTTCAGTTCAGAGTTCAATTCAAGCCATCAGTCAAGACAGTAATAGCTGCCGTCCTTATTTGATTCAGCGTCACATTAAACAGACTGCTTTTCTCAAGCAGGAAAGCCTCTCATTGTGATGAATTAAGTTTTATTGGTTTGTGTTCATTTTATGTTGTATGTCTTCATTATAGGGCGCTTGACGCTAGACGAGAGAGCTCTTCCAATTAGTGTTGCAAACTGCTAAACCTAAGGTACCTGTGATGATTTTTCTTCTTTTTTTTTTCACATTATAAAGACATTTGTGATATATACCGATAGATTGCCTGGTGATGCTGTATGTAATTTTGCTCAACAGACACTTGCCTTTTTTCTTGAATGCAAGAAGAGGTCCTCTTCAGCCATGGTGGACTTTGCAGGGAGATAATTTGTGAAGATGTAAATGGACTTTTGATTTTATGTGTTTATGGATGAGTGTGCAACCATCACGATGGATTGACAGATTGTGATCTAATGTAGAAAAACGATGTATTTGTGATTATGTTTACTGTTGTTACCGATGGGCTGATTTATTACTGCATTGTCAAGGCCATATTCATAAACACTTGTTAGTGACACATATCCGTATCATCTGATCACACCAGATAATGCAACTATACGTCCGGGCTTCATGTTGGTTCCTCTCTTTTTTTAATGGAAAGCCTATATTTATTTCTTATGGTTTTTCATTTGTCAGTGCCTTCACTTTGATTGTTACTCTTCGTTTTTATTTGCAATGTGGGACATCATTTCTTGTGTCCTAAAACACGGACTGACTGAAGAGAGAACGTTTCGCAATAGTTATACTATTTTAATGAATACAGACAAGAGTAGTTCCATACTTATATTTGCAACTTTAGTGTTTAGCCCTCATGACAATTTTTCTGTTTGTTTTGCAAAAACAGCTTATTGAATAAGAATTTTCATTATACAAAATTGATTTTAACTTTCCAATGTTTCTTTTAGTAATGTGTTTTCTGTTTAGTGACTGTCCTGCAGTTAATTTTTCTACTTTTGTAAAACACTTACCACACACACACACACACACACACACACACACACACACACGTCATTTAATCCAAATGTTAATGTCTGTTATCACAACAGATTGTTCTATTTATGTATATTTTTAATATCGTTGATTTCCACAATGATTTTCATGGTGGTCACAGCACAAGTTCTGTTTTACGAATAAAGAATAGTGCACAACATTGTGATTTATTGTTTGATTTACAATTTATCGACAAATTAATAATCTATAAATAAATGACTTTGGACACACCAGAAATTACATGTACAAGTGTGTGCAATTTGCTTTATAAATTGGATTAGAACAAATTTTATTCGCAGTGAAGGTAATTCACACAGACAGGCATCTGAGATCGGCTCGATTTGAGAAAGGGGAAAACATTTAACCAGATTAAAAAAAAAGAAACACTGGGTGGATTTTTATCATTTTAGGGTGGTTGTGTACACACACTGCCAACACAAATTTCAGTTCAAACAACTTGTAAACGTGCATGTAGCATCTTATGACCCCTTTAAATCAAAACATACTTGTTTACAAATTCCTGCAACTAACTAACTAACTAACAAACTAAAATAAAAATGAAATGTTATAAAATTTATTTAAAAAAAATAAATAACATCAAACAAATTTAAAACAGTGTCTCAGGAAAAAATAATAAATAAATAAAATAAAACAAAACAAAATAATAACATAAAGCAGGGTATCATGAAAAAGAAAAAACACATTTAATAAATAAATAAATACATACATACCTACGTAAATATATAAATTAATAAATTCCAACCAGGGTATCATTAAAATAATTATTAATCATTTAAAAAAAGAGAGATTACAAACAGTGTATCATGCTAACTTCATTAATAAAAATTAAGTAAATAATAATAATAATATTAATAATAATAAAAGTATCAGAGGAGAGGACAGAGGCACAAAGCCATGGGCTCTGTGAGTGCACAAAAATAGACCATATCCAGACAGCGTCACACCACCCAGTCACAGTTTATTTTACTACATGTAATATCAGGACTTTATTTTTACCACTGTATATACCGAGAACACACAGACACACACACATCAGTAGATGCTGACAGTCTAGAAAGTATTTTAATGTCAAATAAACTTCTATTGATAGGGCTGTGATGTTACTGGATGGTGTATATAACTGAAAAAGTTGAATTCCGAAAATTCAATAATATGTGGCTGGTGACAAAGAAAGCAACATCTCTACTGAATCCTCCTGCTGCATTGTTCAGAAAAGTTTCTGTAACTGCTGATGTAGAGAGACAGAGGGAGACTGTTTTAAAGTAAATCTCCATCACTTCCTTCCTGTTTCCTTTCATTCAGATTTCCTGTGAACGTTGTAGACAAATAAGTTGCGATTTGATTCACAGGGTCCCAATGCAGTGTTTACCGCTTAGTAAGACATAAAATGTAATTTATTCCTGTGATGGTAAAGCTGAAGTTGCAGCATCATTACTCATCACATTACAGCTCAGAAATCATTCTAAAATGCTAATTTGCTGCTCAAGAAACATTTATTTAGTTATTATTATTATCATAATCAATGCTGAAAACAGTTGTGCTGCTTAATATTTTTGTTGAAACAGTGATGCATTTTTTCTTTGATGAATAAAAAGTTAAAAAGAACAGCATTATTTGTATTAGTTTTTATATATTTTTAAGTTTTGTCATTTTTGTTGTGTTTTTGTCCCTTTTATAATTTTTTTTGGTGATTTTAAATGTCTATATTTCATAGATTCATAGGTTTTACTTTTAGTTATTTTAGTACAATTAAGTTAAAAAGTTAAAGTTAAAATGACTAAATGAACATAAGAAATTTTGGCTAAAATTTTACCTATTTTTCAGTAAACTTTTTATTTTATTTTCATTATTATTATTCATTTTAAGCAACACATTTTTTATGGTTTCAGTTCAAAATAACTATAATAACCCTGATTTAATTATAAATCTTCCTACAGGTTGGAATCTTAATCAAATTGTTGACTTCACATGGTTCTCCTTGGAATGTAGCCCTTGTCACCTGCATAATCTAAATACCACACAACACACACACAAACACACACACACACACACACACACACACACACACACACGTCATTTAATCCAAATGTTAATGTCTGTTATCACAACAGATTGTTCTATTTATGTATATTTTTAATATCGTTGATTTCCACAATGATTTTCATGGTGGTCACAGCACAAGTTCTGTTTTACGAATAAAGAATAGTGCACAACATTGTGATTTATTGTTTGATTTACAATTTATCGACAAATTAATAATCTATAAATAAATGACTTTGGACACACCAGAAATTACATGTACAAGTGTGTGCAATTTGCTTTATAAATTGGATTAGAACAAATTTTATTCGCAGTGAAGGTAATTTGTTTAGATGCTTATTTTCATTTTCTATGAAAAGCTCTTTTAGATACTGTGATTCTTTGTCAGATTAGCCTCTGCACTGTGTTCAGGTACTTAAGATAACGTTTGCATATTTGGCTAAACTCTTACCGCTACTAGGCATCTGCCAAAAGCTTACTCAATGACAAGTTGCCATAAATATACTTGGTCACGCTGAAGGAGATGGCTATTAACTAATTTGTCATTTAGCTGATGCTTTTATCCAATGGGATAAATCCAAAGTCCTATTCTGAAGCAGTCTTAACATTAGGAAATTGGATTTTTGAAAGCTACTAGTGGCTCACTATAACTACACTACCTCCTGCCAGGCTATTTTGTAAATACGAATTTGTAATTTAGCAAATCTTTTTAGCCAATGCAAAAATTCCGTAGTCCGCGGAAAAATATCGATTTGGGTGTGAAACCAATGTGATCACATGTGAACACGTGAACAAATGTGGACACGTGGAAACGTGATCACATGGGTTTCTCATATTTACACCATGAAAATGTTCCAAAACCACGTTTCATGTGTGTTTCATATGTGTTTCACACGAGTTTCACATGTGAAGTTTCTGTAAGGGTTATTGAAAGTCACACAATAAAATTGGACAGAAAATATATTAATATTAAATATCAATATATTCTTTTTATTCGATTCTATGCAACAGAATCAGATTTAACTTTTTTTTTTTTGACTAGACTAATTATCCAAATATTGTATAGTCATACAAAACTATTATTATTATGTGAGCAGAGCATAGCGGGGAGCAGATCAGTGAATGAGATGGTAGCGTTATTTTACCAGCGTCACCATGTTACAGCACAGCAGCGCTATAGAGTGGTGGAACTATTATGTCACTTTGTAGGCCAGTCGGCTGTTAGCATCACACTGAACAGCTTATTGAATAAGAATTTTCATTATACAAAATTGATTTTAACTTTCCAATGTTTCTTTTAGTAATGTGTTTTCTGTTTAGTGACTGTCCTGCAGTTAATTTTTCTACTTTTGTAAAACACTTACCACACACACACACACACACACACACACACACACACGTCATTTAATCCAAATGTTAATGTCTGTTATCACAACAGATTGTTCTATTTATGTATATTTTTAATATCGTTGATTTCCACAATGATTTTCATGGTGGTCACAGCACAAGTTCTGTTTTACGAATAAAGAATAGTGCACAACATTGTGATTTATTGTTTGATTTACAATTTATCGACAAATTAATAATCTATAAATAAATGACTTTGGACACACCAGAAATTACATGTACAAGTGTGTGCAATTTGCTTTATAAATTGGATTAGAACAAATTTTATTCGCAGTGAAGGTAATTTGTTTAGATGCTTATTTTCATTTTCTATGAAAAGCTCTTTTAGATACTGTGATTCTTTGTCAGATTAGCCTCTGCACTGTGTTCAGGTACTTAAGATAACGTTTGCATATTTGGCTAAACTCTTACCGCTACTAGGCATCTGCCAAAAGCTTACTCAATGACAAGTTGCCATAAATATACTTGGTCACGCTGAAGGAGATGGCTATTAACTAATTTGTCATTTAGCTGATGCTTTTATCCAATGGGATAAATCCAAAGTCCTATTCTGAAGCAGTCTTAACATTAGGAAATTGGATTTTTGAAAGCTACTAGTGGCTCACTATAACTACACTACCTCCTGCCAGGCTATTTTGTAAATACGAATTTGTAATTTAGCAAATCTTTTTAGCCAATGCAAAAATTCCGTAGTCCGCGGAAAAATATCGATTTGGGTGTGAAACCAATGTGATCACATGTGAACACGTGAACAAATGTGGACACGTGGAAACGTGATCACATGGGTTTCTCATATTTACACCATGAAAATGTTCCAAAACCACGTTTCATGTGTGTTTCATATGTGTTTCACACGAGTTTCACATGTGAAGTTTCTGTAAGGGTTATTGAAAGTCACACAATAAAATTGGACAGAAAATATATTAATATTAAATATCAATATATTCTTTTTATTCGATTCTATGCAACAGAATCAGATTTAACTTTTTTTTTTTTGACTAGACTAATTATCCAAATATTGTATAGTCATACAAAACTATTATTATTATGTGAGCAGAGCATAGCGGGGAGCAGATCAGTGAATGAGATGGTAGCGTTATTTTACCAGCGTCACCATGTTACAGCACAGCAGCGCTATAGAGTGGTGGAACTATTATGTCACTTTGTAGGCCAGTCGGCTGTTAGCATCACACTGGTTCCCTTGACAAAAAGCCAATAGGATTTTTCCATAGGCTTTTGGATTATCGTAAAAAAAAAAAAAGCTCTGTGTTCAACCATAGTTCATGTTACTTACACGTTTTGTCCATCAAGATAATCTTCAAATAATATAACTTTTATGAATTTTGAAGCCAATAAAATTATAGTGCATTAATCTATTAAATAACAGCAGAGTGAGCAAGTTTTTGGATATGGTAAGATTAAATTTATTTTAGTTAATAAAGTACGACATTTCCACTATCATTTTGTTAGGGTGCTTACACAAAATTATATTTTATCCTTGCTTTTAGAAAATCCTCAATCTTTTTGCTTTCTAACAGCTTCATGTGGCCGTAAACACTTAATTGTAGCGTAGCTTTAAGCACTATGAATAATTAAAGTTTCACTTTCACCATGACCACGTAAAGCCAGTAAATGTGGT